AAAAAAAAAAAAAAAAGGTGGCCAAGTGAGCAGTGTCTGCAAAGTAATCTGATGCATAGAGGGAGGGGAAGCTGCTCTTGTGCATGCCATAACATCTGCCCTACTTTTTCCCTCCAAACCTGTTTGTCCCTCCAGTTGAAGATGTAATAAAATACCTCGACCCCCAGTACATCGACAGGATGGCTGTTCCAGACACCATGAAGCTGCAGTTCATCTTGGCAGGTATGGCAGGAAACGAGGGGAAGCAGGAGGCTTTTGTGGCACTGCAAAAAAAGTGTGCTTTACCTAAGGATGGATTGGGATGGATTCCTTTCCTTCAGCTGTAAAGATGTGGCACGGCACGCCCTGTGGAGGTGTCAGAGGCAGGTTTGTACAAGGATGTCTGTCACCCTCAGTGCTGCCTCCTGTGCTTTTGTCAGCTCTGATCTCTCCCATACTGATCGTTCACTTTGGCCCCAAATTAATCAAAGGCTGCCGGGAAAAGCTGGAGCTGGAATGGTTTCCTCACCCCACTTCCAGTGTTCTCCAGGCTGGGACAAAAAGAGAAGACATTTGGGTGTATTTTGACATCCCCTAGCCTTGTCCTCTCGTGACCCAAGGAATCTGATCAGCCTGCAGTGGTACAACCTGTGAATGGAATTCCACAGAATCATGGAATGTTGAGGGGGTGGAAGGGAACTTAAGGACCATCCATCCCAACCCACCCTGCCACAGACAGGGACACCTCCCCGACTATCCCAGGCTGCTCAGACCCAACACTGCCCGGGATGGAGCATCCACAACCTCCTGGGCAACCTGTGCCAGTGCCTCACCACCCTCACAGGAAAGAATTTCTTCCTAATATCCACCCTAAATTTCCCCTCTTTCAATTTGTGCTCATTAATCCTTGTCCTGTCATTAGAACTCGGTGGAGATTCTCTTGCATGAAGTTGGTGTGATTCAAGACCCAGGGATGAGCAGCACAAAAGTGTAAATAAAATAATGAACAAGCTCCTTCCTGTAGAGGCAGATCAGCTGGAAGAATTACCACTTTTGTGAAAAGCCAGAGCAGTGTTTTGTGTTTACTGATGTTGCTTCTTGTCCCCCCAACCAGAGGAGCAGGCCATTCCTGCCCGTGCAGCTCTGCTGGAGCAGGTGAAGAACCTCCAGCCCATCTTGGACAGCACCAGTATCCAAGGTATGCATGCTCTCCTGCAAGCCGGAGCTGCAAATGCCACCTGCTGAGCCGTGGCCTGTCCTGCTCTGCTTCTTTTCTCTAGAGAAGAGGACAGCTTAGTGGTGTGAGAGTAAACTGAGTACAGCCTTGCTCTGCCCCTGCCTCCTGCTGCTCAGCCTCCCTCGCAGGGTGAGGGAGGAGCTTGAGAAGCAGGCTAGAGAGAGCGCTGTGGCAGAGAGGGTGGAGCCTGGCAGGTCATTCCTTCCTGTGAGCTCTTTTGCATCCAGAACATCTCCGTTCCTGGCAGGTGGTTGACTCTGATGTAGTTCTTGAGTGGCCCTCGCTGTGGGCATCCCTGAGCTCGTGCCATGTGCAGGGTAGTTAAGTGGGCTTTTTTTTAATCCCGTGTGAGTTTTATCTATAGTGTGGGACACTTGCACTCAGTGAGTGGAGTTCTGCCATGCCATGCTCGTGGAGGAGGACTGGGCTTTACCTGGGAGCTGTTCCCATGTGCTGTGTAGCAGCCCAAACTGATTTCTCCTTTGTGCTTCCAGCGGTTCCTGACCACGCAGCCAAACTGCAGCGGCTCTCACAGATCCACATACAGCAGCAGGTACCATGACTGTTCCTATCAGTATTGACTAGAAGGGCCTAGGAACCTTTGCAAGTGGCTGTACTGACACCCTTGTATTTGTAATTGTTTGAATTGCTAATTTATGGCATTTTTTTGCAATCTGAATTTTCATACTGCAGTCTTAAATAAGTTTAAGTACTCCAAGGGGGAAAAGGAGCCAGGATTTCTGTGAATTGAGTCCAAGTTGGAAATTTGCTCACCATAACCCTGCTCAAAACAGCTTTCAGTGACATGTAGTAAGTGACAGTGGGTTTAACTGTCTTGAATTTCCCCTTTTACAGAGACATTGAGGTGAAGCATTGCACTCCTCCAGTGTCCTACTCTCTGGAACTTTGTTGACACTGTCACGCTGTCCCTTCACCCTTTCCCTCCCTGTACGAGCACTCTTGGAGCTGGCAGTGAGTAGCCTGCCAGTTCCTAATGATCTCTTTCAGCATTTTGCTGTAAGTTTCTGTTCTGAGGCAAGCAAAGCCTGGATACTGAGGAGAGACAGGCAGCAGTGCAAGCCTGGGGGCTTTGCTGCTTCATGGGACCAGTGTTTGTCACCTTTCTCTTGTTGGTGAAAACCTGTCCAGCTGCAGTGAGCACCCACAGCCAGGGCCTCAGCACTGATCTCAGTGCTGGCCTTGGATGAGTTTCCTGCTGTGCTGGATGGACTGGGAAGGGAGAAGTGTCCTTCGCCTTATTTATTGCTCACGCACTGCGGCTCCCCTCTTCGCAGGAGAAGCGTCACGATCTCACTGACAGTGTCAAGACACTCCTTGAGGATTACAACAAAATGGTATCCTTTGAACTTCGGGCCTGGAACACCTGAACTGACCCCTTCCCCTGGCTGATCTGTTGCATCTCCAGCTTGGGGTTTAACAGCCCTTCTGATGTGGTGACACCTGTGTCCCTGTCCTGGCTGCCCAGGATCCCAGCACCAAGGCACATCCCAAAGCCACAGGGGGTGGGGAAGCTGTGTGGAGAGCCCTTGCATGGCAGTGGTATGTGGTGTTCACAAGTGCCTCCCGGACTCCTGTGGGTGTATGGTGCTGTGCAGTGGCTCAGCCACTGGATGGATTGAATCCATGTAGGCTTTCAGCAGCCTGGTGCCCTGGGCTCTCCCGAGGAATCAGGATTGTAATGGTGCTGTCAGGATGCTCTGACCTGCGTTTCTTTCTCACAGTTCCTACATTATTTTCCTTAAGTGTCGTGTCCAGACCCTGCTTCTCTCCAAGCAGTTTGTGCAGTGGAATGAAATCCTGACACGTCTGGAAGTGGCCAAGCAAGCAAAACCTGTGGCAGAGTGATGGCAGAGCTGGGAGCATGGCGTGCCCAGGGCTCCTGTGGCACAGCTTGCATTCCTGCTGGTCCCAGCTCCTTCCTGCTTGGCACGAGCATGCTGAAGTGACACGGGAGGATCCTGCCAGCCCTCAGTCAAAGCCACACTGCTCCTTAATCTGCCACTGTTTGCAAACCTTGCACTTCGCTGAAATGCATCTCTGTTGTAACGTTTTTAAAACCCGATTTCTGTGCTTACTGTGGGCCATAGTAAAGTCCTGGAACACTAACTGGGTTGTCTGTGTCTCCCTGGGTGTGAGGACTACTCCTGGCACAGACTGGGGATTTTTTCCCAGGCAGTGATCTCTTGGCAGCCTCCAGGAGATGGCCAGTGGTTCCTTTCAGCCTTGGGCATTGGGCCAAGGTCCTGCATTCTTCCAAAGACTCTGCCCCATGCTCTTCCTGTTCATGTGAGTTGCCTGTGCCCAGGGGAATCTAGTTTTATGGAACTTTTCCGCCTTGCTGTTCTCCCATCTCTGTGCTGAGAGAAGGCAGCAGCTTTTGCCTTTATCCTGCCTCTGCTTTCCTGAGGCTGCTGCAAGCCAAGGCCCGTGTTGGCTTTTTCCCTTTCCAGAGAGAGGCACAAACCATGCCTTGCCTGGTCTGACTGCAGCATGGAGTTTCCAAGGCCATGCTTTTGCAAGGGTCTCTAACCCTTCAGGTTGGTGATACTGCCCAGCTGAGTGTGCCCTGGGCTTCCTGCAGGAACGGGGCAGAACCCCCACAGGAAGTCCAGAAGAGATTCCCAGCCCCTGAGCTCTCCCTCATCAGCAGCCTCGCGGGCTGTCAAACCACGGTGCGGCTGCAGGCCTGCGGAAAACCCCTGATCCCACCGGCTGCCTGGGGAGCTCGGGTGAGGTGGGAGCTGACGGGCGGCCTTTCGTGGGTGGGCACAGGGACGGCGTGTGCGTGCCCGGTGCCGGCGGGGCTGGATGTGCCCAGGGCCGGCAGGGATGGATGTGCCCGGTGCCGGCAGGGCTGGATGTGCCCGGGGCCGGCAGGGCTGGATGTGCCGGCGGGGCTGGATGGATGTGCCCGGTGCCGGCGGGGCTGGATGGATGTGCCCGGTGCCCGGGGCCGGCAGGGCTGGATGGATGTGCCCGGTGCCGGCGGGGCTGGATGTGCCCTGGGCCAGCCGGGATGGATGGGTGTGCCCGGTGCCGGCAGGGCTGGATGGATGTGCCCGGTGCCGGCGGGGCTGGATGTGCCCGGTGCCGGCGGGACTGGATGTGCCCTGGGCCAGCAGGGATGGATGGATGTGCCCGGTGCCGGCAGGAATGGATGTGCCCGGTGCCGGCAGGGCTGGATGTGCCCGGTGGGAGCGGGAACAGCCCCGGGACCGGGAACTGCCCCGGGGCAGCCAGATGGGCGTGGCTTCCTCTCGCCCCGCCCACTACCCGCACACCCAGTCATGTGATTGGCGGGCGTGGCCCCGACATCGAGCCACGCCCATCCGCCTCGCGCTTGCGCGCGTCCGGCGTCGGCCGCCATCTTGTGTGGAAGGGCGCGCTGAGGCGGCCGCAGGTGAGCGCGGGCCCCGCACGCCCCGCCGGGGCTTCCCTCACTCCCACCCCGGCTCTGCCGCGTCCCGCCGCGGCCGCCCGGCTCTCCCCGGGCCCCCTGGCACCGATGGCGGCGGCGGCCGCGTGGGGGTGAGGGCCTCGTGTGCTCCCCGGGTTGGGAGCGGGGTCTCCGCGGTGCCCCTGAGCAGGACGGGGTGCGGGCTGCGGGGTCTGGGTGCAGCGGGACTCAGGAGCCCGCGGGTAACAAAGCACTGCGACCTTCAGCACCTTGAGCTGTGCGCTGGGAGTGCCCTGAACAGGTCAGGCTTGGCACAGACGGCAGCTGTGAGACGTGGCCTTCCTGTCTTTCCTTTTTTTATTCCTGCAGTCCGTGGTTTACCATCTCCCGGCTGACATGCAGTGTTTTACCCTCAGCTGGGCTGGCCAGGTCCCCACGAGCCTGTGTTTGTACACGAGGTGCTGGTGTAAACTGTGCTTGAATTCATCCTGGGCATGTTGTGGTGCAGCTGTGGCCAGCATTCCCGAGCTGTGTTCTTACTCACCCCAGCTCACTTGTTTGTTCTGTCTTCTCCTGAGATGCAGCAGTGTTTTCCATGTCACCCTGCTTAGGCCCACAGCACTAACGCTGTTTCTTTCACAGGCTGCCTGCCAAGGCTCAGGCTGCCCTGTGGTAAGATTCATACTGTGGGTATGTCACTGTGAGGACTGGGCTAATCTTTTGGTTATGCCTTTCCAGCATTCCCTGATCCTTCAGAGTGCCCTTCAGAGGAAAGGTAGCTAACTGTGGTGGGAGTTTCTTTGTGCAGCAATTACACTGGGCCGGGTGTTCATGGGTCTGTTTTCCTTTCAGCATTGCAGAATGGAGAACTATAAGAAGACCAAAATTGTGGAGAAACCTTGTCCTCTTCCTTTCACTGACCTGCCCGCTGATATCATTGAAATGAAGGTGAAGGACGGGAGCAAAATTAGGAATCTGATGGGCTATGCCATGAGCAAGATGGAGCAGGACTCGGTGAGGCAGATTCTTTTCACGGGCTCGGGCAAGGCCGTCAGCAAGACCATCACCTGTGTGGAGATCATGAAACGAAGGCTGAAGGAGCTGCACCAGATCACCAAAGTGCTCTTCAAGCAGATCGAAGAAATCTGGGAACCCATTGTGCCTGAGGCAGGCCTGGATGCCTTGACAGTGAAGAGAAACATTCCTGCCATTTGTGTCCTGCTGAGCAAAGACGCCCTGGATCCCCAGGAGCCGGGATACCAGGCCCCAGGCTCTTTCGATGCCTTCTGGACTGAGACGCTGAAGGCAGAATCGCAGGGGCAGATGAAGAGGAAGCAGGGAGGAGGCCGGGGAGCTGCCAGCACCGGGAAGCACCCTCGCTCCACCGGGGGAGTCCCGGGGGGGCCCTGAGGCGGCGGCTCCGCGCGTGCTTCGGGAGCTGCAGGAAGCAGCCCGGGGCTGAGGCTGCACGGCTGCTGCTGAACACGGGGGCTCACGGAGGTGTGAGGGGAGGGCAGGACGAGCGGACTGGGTGTGATCATTGCTGTCTGAAAACGTGTTTTGACAAGTTCCCTTGCCAAAGGCTGCCGGGCTGTACTCCTTAGGGGATCACAGAAGATGGGAGTTGCCTCTTCTTGAGCAAGAACTGTTGGTGTGCTGTCAGTGAGTCCCACCAAGGGCTGCTAGCCCAGTGAGGTTTCAGGTGCCTGGGCGTGCAGCAGCCCGGGCAGTGGGACAGACACCTGTCTGTGTGGCAGGTGCAGGTTGCTCTGACCAGTACAAAGGGGAGACAGGACCTGATGCGGAATCCCTGGGGAAGCTGCCAGCGTCGCCCAGGCTCATGAGCATACAGACAGCAGGGCACAGGGCTGGGACAGCCATCTCTGTGCCTGGAGAGTCCTTCTGCTGAGCCTGTGGGGGAGTTGACTGTAGGACTGTCAGGGTGCAGCTCTGTCTGGCATCTTGTGCATGTAGCTCCTTGGCTCAGCAGAGCTGGCGGTCGTGGTTCTCTCCAAACAGGGAGCAGTCGACTCGCGTTGCAACCAGCCTGAAATCCTGTGGCTCTGCAGCTGTCCTGGGGTGGTGGTAATGGGAAGCTCCAAAGGATCCTGTTCTTTCCGCTTTCTGCTCCTTGGTAATGCACAAAGATGGCTTTAAAATAAAGATGTAACTTCGTGTAACTTGGAGATTTGTCATGTCTCACTCATCCCACTGGAGGTCACCCTGTAAGCGTTGGTGGCGGGGTTGCAGCTGCTGGCTGGAGCTCTGATCTTCCTGCCCTCCTGCTGCTCTGTTTGTACCTCTCATGACTGTAAATGGACCCTGATCCAAGGGGAGGGTAATATCCAAATATTAGCCTCCTTTCACATCCAAAATAGATCAAGGTTCTGTTTCTTTTCTGTGAAGTTTTTTGCTAATTTTTTTTCCCTCCTTTAATAAACTGGCTGGAACTGCAGCCTCAAAAAGACTCGTCCTGAACTCTGCTGAGTGAGGCAAAGGGTGGATCATCTTGTGCAGTAGTTTCCCTCCTGGAGCAGGTCTGGTTAGTAATTCTGGGCCAGAGAGAAGGGCTGTTCCTGTGGCTGAGCTCTTGTCCTGAACACTCCCTGTCCTGTGCGCCCTTCCCGTGTCTCTGTGCAGTGAGCTCCAGCTGGACCCAGCTCTCTGTGCTGGCAGTTAAAGGGTAGCGAGCACCAAAGGAGGAGGTTTCACCGAGAAGTGAGGGGGAGCAGGAGAGGTGCAGCGTGTTACCTGCAGCCAGACAAGGCTCCGCCAGCCTGCCTGGTGCACAGACACCTGCCTCGCATCCCAACGAGCGCCCAGTGCAGCCAGGACTGTGCCAGGCTTGCACGCCTCCTCCCTTCCCGAGGTCTCACTGCTCCCTGCCCCGCTACCCGGAGGAAGTCAGGGAAACACTTGGACCTGTCTGCTGTGCCGGCAGATGGGAGTCCTGGGGACGGGGCAGAGTTAGTCTGTTTTATCTTTGTGCTGTTCCCAGCTGCTGCTCCCTTACATCTACGGAGGGGACCGCTTTTCTCGACTAATTAGCAGATTAGCATAAATGCCAAGGAAGATGCTTGAGTGTCTGATCAGATGCCTTCTGACATTTCAACTGGCAATGTGTCTGTGTTTACTCAAAACACCCTCTTAGTAGAGAGCCGAGAGCCAGATCCTCAGGCAGCGTGTGTAACCCTCCCTCATGGCCGTGGCACGTTTGAAGCCACCTCATCAAAGCTCCAAAATGATTGTTATTTTTTACTAGAAGTTATCCTCAGCTGACTTGGGGGCCTCTCCCTTCAGGACTGAGCTTAACCCAACCATCACACCTATGGGTTTGGGTCAGCGGAGGGATGTCCCCTCTCCCTTACAGCTCTGCCCTTCACCCAGCCTTCATCTGGCTGCCTCTTTTCCCATGGACACACCCACCACAGACCCCAGTGTCACTGCTGTGCATCTGTGTCACCAGGCATATCTGGTGCTTGGATGTGTTTTTTTTCAGAGCAATTGCAGGTGCTGATCCCTGTGGGTCTCCAGGAAGCACCCCGAGGGCCCCTCCAGCCCCTCCTCCTGTCTCCCAGACATCTCCTTTGGGTGCCACATCTGTGCTCTTTAGTAGGAGTATCCACCTTTTGGGATGAAGCCCCACACGAGGGCTTCTGTGGCTTCCATGCCCATGTGGAAGCTGGCAGCTGAGCACGGGGTCAGGCTGCCCAGTCCCTCAGATTCCGCACGGACAGGACAGGGAGAAGCCGGCTGTGGTGGTGAGGCTGATCACGCTCATACTGCACAGGGAATATTTTCCCTGTTCCCTCTTCTCCCTGGGCTATCATGGGGTCTAAGCCCACCCCAGCCTGCCTGTAGCCCTTGTGTCCTGGGAAGGATCCCAGCTCAGCCCTAGCAAGTCCATCCTCAGCATCCTCAAGCCCTGATGTGTGTGGGATCAGATGCGTGTGTGCTCCTATGTGCTTGTGTTTGTGCGTGTGTGTGTGTGTGTTTGTGTGTGTTTGTGTGCATGTGTGTGTGCCCCGGCCGGGCAGGCAGCACAGGAGGGCAGGCACAGTAGGACACAGGCAGGGCAGCACACCGGGCAGTACCGGGGCAGTACGGGGGCAGTACCAGGGCAGTACCGGCTCAGTACCGGGGCCGTACCAAGGCAGTACCGCGGCAGTGCCCCTGGCAGTACCGGCTCAGTACCAGGGCAGTACCGCTGGCAGTACCGGGGCCGTACCGGCTCAGCACCGGCTCAGTACCGGCTCAGAACCGGGGCCGTACCGGGGCAGTACCGGCTCAGCACCGCGGCAGTACGGGGTCAGTACCGGGGCAGTACCGGCTCAGCACCGGCTCAGCACCGGCTCAGTACCGGCTCAGCACCGGGGCCGTACCGGCTCAGTACCGGGGCCGTACCGGGGCTGTACCGGGTCAGTACCGGGGCCGTACCGGCTCAGCACCGGCTCAGTACCAGGGCCGTACCGGGTCAGTACTGGGTCAGTACCGGTCAGTACCGGGGCCGTACCGGGGCAGTACCGGGTCAGTACCGGCTCAGCACCGGGGCAGTACCGGGGCCCTACCGGCTTAGCACGGGCTCAGCTCCCCGCCGGGTCCCGGGCCGGGCCGGCAGAGCGCGCGCTGCCCGGCGCTCTCCCCCCGCCGCTCACGTGGGAGCCGGGCGAGGGGGCGTGTCCCGAGGGAGCGCTTCGGCCAATGGTAGGCGGCGGGCGCAGGGGCTGCCCAATGGCGGGGCGGGGGCGGGGCCCCGGCAGCGCCGCCCGCCCTCCCGCCGGCACCGGGGTCCGACCCCGGGGGAGCAGCAGAGGCAGGTGGGTAACGCCGGGGCTCCGCGGCGGGAGGGCGGAGTTGGCGGGACCTGTTGCCGTCCGGTTCCGGGGGCTCCGCGGTTGTCCCGTTCCGCGGCGGGCGGGGGTCAGAGGCCGCGGGGGTCAGACCCCGGTGGAAGCGCAGCGGGGCCGCCCTGCCCAGCTGCTCGCCCCCGGCCCGGCCCCGCTCTGCGTGCCGGACCCCGCGTCCCGCCGGCTGGAAGAGGAGTTGGAGGATGGAGCGGGCATCGGAGCGGGGCCAGGGCTGTCCGGAGTCACCCGGAGTGCACGGGAGGGAAGGAGCGTGCGGGCCGGGATGAGGCGACGGGGACAGCTCCAGCCTGGTGGCCCAGGTGGGGGATGAGGGGCTGGAAAGGGGTGCTGGAAATGTCCCCCAAACAGCACCTGACCTGGGAGCCGCTGCAGGTTTGGAACTCCAGCGGAGCCCCGTGGGCCCTGCCAGCTGTCCCCTGGCGAGCACAGCCCTGAGGGGCTCCAGAGCCTGTCCCTTCATGCCCGCCCTGACCGCCACTTTCTCTCTTCCAGGTGCTGGAGGGAGAACAGTGATCCCCGTGTCCTCGCTGCCCTGTCGGAGGAGGGGAAGCCGGGAGAAAGCTTCCCTGTGGTGCGGTGCAGCCCGGGACACAGCCGTGAGCGGCCCAAGTGACGGGGTGACACTGCCGGCCTGGCCCCATCCCCGTCCCCTTTGTCCCCTGCCAATGCCGGCAGGTGGAGGCTGCACGCTCGGTCGCTGCCCTGGCATCCCAAGCGTGAGGCCGGGCTCCGGGCCCTGCCGATCCCCGCGGGACCGTGGCCATGGCGGCTGCTCTCTCCACCGGAGCCATCGTGGCAATCTCTTTTAACTGTGTCATTGCGTTGCTCATCCTCATCCTCTTCCTCATCCTCTGCAAAGCCTGCAGGACCCCCTCGTGTCCCAAGAAGACGCCGGCTTCTGATGTGGATGAGTCAAGGAATGAAGAGAAGTACCTGCTGCAGCCCTGATCTGCCTGGGGACTGGGGACTGGGCTGTGCCAGACGGGATGGCTGTGCTGCACCTCGAGTGCTGGACCAGGCACGATGAAAGCTGAGGGGACACCCTGAGGGGAAAGCTTGCAGGGGCTGTGACAGGGGGCACGGTCCTTTGCCTTTGTGGTTGTTTTGGTGTGTGAAGTTCCACAGTGATGATGGGGATAGAGAGACAGCTGGTGGGGATATGCTACAGGGACACTCGTGCCTGTCCCAGCGGCCAGAGAGCACAGCAGGAGCTCTGCCTTCTGCACCCCTCATTTGGGAACAGGGTTGTGGGCTCTTCTCTGGCGCTCATGGCCTGGGCAGCAGCGTCACAGACCTGAGCAAAGCTGGCTGGGTGCCTGGAGAGGGGAGGCAGCAGGGCTGGCACAAGTGCAGGCTGGCTGCTCCATGGCAGGGAAACCTGAGCAGCCCCAGCCCTCCTGGCAAAGCAGGCCCTTACCAGTCCAGATGCTTGGGGGTGGCCCTGGGTGCCGTGTGCCCTCAGCCTCAGGTGGGCATTTGGCAGATGCCTGCCCGAGCAGCGGGTTTCGTGAGGCACAAGAGGGCCTGCATGGTCTGCCCGATCATCCCCGGCCTGCCTGTCAGTCCCCTCCAGCATTAGCACCAACGCTGCTAGGCAAACCACCCTCCTCCTCCTCGCTGGGTGCGTGTCCCTGCCCTCCCCCCTGCCTGCTCCCAGCCGAGGTCAGCCGTGGTTTCACCCTGCCTGTGAGCAGGCATCCCCGATCCCGCTGAGAGCAGCCTGGTGTGGCTTTTTCCTGGGGAGATGAGGGTGCCTGGACAAATAGCTTTGAAGGTTCTTTGACCCTGCCTGTTCCCTGGGGATCACAGTGGCTCTGTGGGGAGGGATGCCGTCGTCTGGCTTGTCTGCGAGCCCGACGGCTGCATCCCCTGCCCTGCCAGTGGGTGCTGTGGGTTTTGGAGGGCTCTGCCTTGCCTTTCCTAGAGCCGAGCAATAGCCACAGTCACCGCTGGCACAGCCACTGCAATAAGGGGACAGAAGGGTGGGGTGGGAGGGATGCCAGTCAGGGCTCCTGCAGAGGCTTGGCCAGGCCTGGCAGAGCCTGTGCCTCCTCCCCGTGTCAGGTGTAGCAAACACATCCCTTTGCAGCCTTGTTTTTACTAGACTAATAAACGGATTGTAGGACCCACCTTGTGTCTCTGAGCTCTACCCAGTGCCTGGAAAATTCCGGGGGAGGTGGAATGTCCTGCCATCCTGGCAGGGCTGAGGAGTGGCTGTCCCAGGGCTCCAGAGGACTGTGGGTGGTTTGCTCAGGGATGGTGATAAGGAAGGGCTTGTGTCCTCATCCATCTGTGGCTTCTAAATGCTGGATGAAACCTGACTGGGTATTTCCTGCCCGCCTGCCTGCCTGGGGCATGTGGGAGTCAGCAGGGAGCATTCCCCAACCTTTGTGCCAGAGGCACGGAGAGTTTCCAAGCTGTGGCCGTACTTTCCAAGGATGTTTGTGGGAGACAGGCCAGCTGAGCATATGGAGGACACCTGCCCCCACACCTGCCGGGTGGCTTTGGTGCCCGGGCCTGGGGGCTGTGCACAGGGACCTGGTGGTGACAGCCGCCGCTCATCAGCATGCTGTGAGGCCACTGCTGCTGCTGCTGCCACCGCAGCCACGCAGCAGCTAATCCCCTGCTGCACACAGAGGGGTGGGAGGCTCTGCAAACCCCGCTGCCCAGCCGCTCCACAGGCACCCAGCCCCGTGCTGAGGCCCCTGGGGAGAGGGGAGCTGTGGGCCTCCCACAGCTGGTGCCTGGCAGCTGCTGCCATGGGCTGTCGGGAGGCATGGAATGTTTCTCTCTCACAGTCCAGGGGCACCAGGCCCGGTTTCCAGGCACCCTCTGGCTTAGGCTGACGCCCCAAAATCCAGTGTGCCATTCCATTTGACTTGCACAAATGCCTGGGGGGGTCTGCAGCTCAGAGCTCAGTCTCTCTGGCCACCACTCACAGTGGGGCTGGCTGCCATGAAGCTGCAGCCCTGAAGTTTTCCTAGGCCCCCTCCTGCCCTCCATAGGGCAGCAAGCCCAGTCAAGGCATGGGAAAGCCAAGGGCCTTGTGGCTCTGGGGGGCCAGGCATGGTGAGATTTGCCTAGCCCAGACATGACTGCATACCACAGCTCTCCCAGCACCTCGGTTTATTTGTCCGGGCATAGAGGAAAAGTGTTCCTGCTGTGCAAAAAGTGGGCAGCAGGGGCCCGTGGCTTGCATGCCAAGCAGCCACCGATCAAAGCCGAGCTTGTTTGGCCAGAGGCTGCCCATGGAGTCATCATTCCCCCCTCTCACTGCTCTTCCTTGCTCCCTGGCTGTCTCACCAGGCTAAGCAGCTTCTCCAGTTTTGCTATTTCCACCTCAGGACCTTTCTTCACCTCCTGGCCTTTCTTCTCCTGCAAAGAGACCAAGCAGGACAGAGCTGTGAGCATGGAGGAAAGCAGGGATGAGGAGGGGTCCAACACAGGGAGGGCTGCTGGAGTGCTGTGTCTGAGCTCTCACTCCTCACTGGAGGCTGATCCACAGGGGGATGCACCTGCTTATCCTCATATTTCAAGCCCAAGGTGCCATGAGATGTGTGAAAGCTCCTATGAGCTGGGAAAGGACACTAATGAAGTGTTTGTATGGGAATGATAGTGGATCTATTGATCCACAGTGACTAAAAGCCTTTTCTGCCTCTCTCTTCCTAGATCTTCTTAGCCCCATGGCACCGGACTACCCTCTAAGCTATGCCCCCAAGCAGTGCCAGGCATGCAAGGCTGCTAGGGCAGTGCAGCAGTGCAGATGTCCAGACCTCCCCAAAACAGCCCCAGCATGCCCATCCCCTGCAGCTGCTCCTGGGCACAGGCAGCCAGAGGAGCAGGGGTCATCCCTTTTGCACCCAAATGGCTTTTCCAAGGAGAGCAGCTGGGTGTTGAGAGCCCCTAATGTGGTAGGGAGAAGTGAGCCAGGGCTCCCAGGTGTGCTGTTAACTCCTCACTGAGGCTTTCAGTGCCTGGACACAATTCTGTGCCAACCCTGATGCACACCTCAGCATGGGCAAGGAGGACAAGCACTTCCCACATTCCCCTAGCACCTGTCCCAAGCATCCCAGGGGCTCTCTGCCTGAGTGCTAAAGCAAACTACCAGCATCTTGAGAAAAATCACATAGCACAAGGGAAAGAGCCTGCCCAGTTCAGCCCTCACTTGTTTGGGAGCAGCAAGAGCTTTCCAAGCCTGGCAGACGATGATGTCCCTGCTGAAGGCACAAATTCCACTCAGTGCTTTGTGCAGAACACGCTTCTGCTGGGCTGTGGGCTGCAGCATTGTTCTCAACAGAGTTCTGGCACTTTGGGAAAGTGATTAACTGGGCTGAGGCTCTCCAGGTTCACATCATGTAAGACACAGCTGCAGCAGAGGAATTTTCCAAGCTACACTGAGCCCACCAAGCCCTCCGGCAGCTGAGCATCTACACCATGGGATTTCTCCAAAACAGCATCCCCACAGTCACCACTTCTATCATGAAGTGTTGTTGCATTTCAGTCACAGCCTTCCCCTTTGTCAGCCTGCTGGATCTCGCCTTGCCTCTGGATTTGGTGGGACTCCCCTGCTTTGGGGAGCTCCTCTGTGTGCAGCATGGCTCTGGGCACCCAGAAAGCAGCTGCCAAGCACGGGTGAGCAGGAGGGTTGGCACAGTCTGGCAGGTGGGCTCAGGAGAGGCGGCAGCGGGCCTCCAACACTGCAGCAGAGCAAAGGGAAAGGAAAATCCCTGACCACGCTCAGAGGCAGCCTTCAGAAGATGCTGTATGGCCCTTCTTGGCATCCCCAAAGCCCAGCCTCTGCTCTCCGTGCTCTCAGAAGGCCAGAGGAGCAGCACGCAGCATCGGAGGAAGGAGACTGCCAGCTTTCCTCTCTCCCCACTTAGAAGAGATCAATTCTCCTCCCGCGGAATCGGCCCCGCTGATGGCCGCGGGTGCAGCAATTACAAACACAGCCTTCCCTCCAGCGCTCAGGAACGCCAGAGCACAACACGGGAGAGCTCTCAGCCCGCTCTGGCAAACCGGGCATTGCCAAGAGATGGCAACGGGAAAGCCCCCGGGGAATCCCTGTGTCCTCCCTCCTCCCAGCCCAGCACAAGCTCCATGGAGCAGAGGTTTCCTAAGCTGCCGGAGGACACTGCTGCGATGAAAGCAGTCCTGGGGGGAGGATGGGGACGGGGATACTTGGAAACCTCTCTGCCCCCAAGAAGAGAGCCCCACTGCTGTTCTGAGCACCGGGATGAGCCCAGGTTCTTTTATTTATGGAGTCCATCGTGTGCAAGGTGGGACAGTGCTGGTTTGTATTAATGCCAACAGGTGAGCAGCACCCTTCATGGCTCTGGTCTGGGCACTGTCAGTGATGTTTGTAACAATGGCCCACACCACAGTAGAGCATCTCTCTGAGTGAGAGCCTTGGGATAAACACAGCTGCTCGAGGTATTTCAGGACTTAGCTATTTCTGCAGAAAAGCTGTTTTGCTGTCTGACAGCGTTCAATCTCCTCCCTTTGGCTCTCTGTGTCACACACAGCACCACACAAAGCTCCTTGGGACAGGCAAAAGAGGCACCTGCTTTGCTCAAATGGGAAGAGAAGATGCAAAGTCACCTCCCACCAATCTGTCCCCATCCCAAGCCCTTTGACCTCTCCACTGGCAGGGTCAGGAAGAAACCCTGACTGATGTCCTGCAGGCCCATGGGAACTGTGTCTAAGCCTTGCTGAACTCACCAGCCTCAGGCAAGGCTCAGCTCCTGGTCACCAAACTGTCCCCAAAACTTTGACTTTCACACTGTCTCAGCTCCTCTGGTGCTTCTGAGCACGCTGTAACAAAGCCACACGCAAGCCTGTAATGAGCCGTGGCTGAACCAGAGCCCTAATTTAACGCCACATAACCAAGCAAGCGAGATGACACAGGGAATGGAAATTATAATGTCCTTTTGGGGGCACTGGAATGGAAAGTTTCCCTTTATTCTGTCATCTGCTTCTCCCAGGGCACTTGTGCTTGTGAGCTGGCTAGGCCGCTGATGGCACCAGCACAGCACTGTGGGATCTGCTTGGATGCACGTGGCCGCTTCCCTCAAATCCAGGGACTTTGGCTGCATCAGACCTCTGAGGAGCAGTCCTTCTTGGAGCAGAGCTCTTGTGATGTCCCAGGGCACACACGAGGCAGGGAAGTGTCACTTCCACGCGCGGCTGCCTCCAGCAGGTGCCACAGCCAGGTGTGGGGAGGGCACTCGTGGGCTCTGACATCCCTGCTTACACCACACCCATAGGGCTCATTAGGAGCTGAGAGTGAGTCAGGGGAGATCAGTCTTCCCCCATGAAGCTGTTAGATGCAGAGCCGAGATTACAGGTGAGGTCTGTCCCTCAGCAGCCCATGGAATGGGTATTGGAGCTGCTCAGAGCAGCATTTGCATTGACTTTACTGTTAACTGCTTCCAGCTGGGGAGCAAAGTGCTCCTGTTGGAAGGGTGATGAGGGACACGGCAGGAAAGCTCACAGCAGGGCCAGGAAAGGTGCAATGTAGGGATGGGCTCTGCTCTGCTTACAGAACATGACCTCAGGGAGGAGAGATGGGGAAGAGACCCCCTGTTTGTGTCCATGCTGCTGTATTTGTGGCCAGGTTTCTCATGGCCCTTACACACCTTTACCTCATGTCTGGGGTCTTCCCTGGCTTGTCAAGCAGGGAAACTGAGGCAAAGGGCAAGGGGCTCAGGCTTACAGGCAGTGTGCAGGACCCTTGGTGGTCCTCTCAGCCCCAGAGTGAGTACTGGCACTGGAATTGGAGCAGGAGGGGACAGATGACTGAGGTGAAGCCTCAAGGGGAAGCCTGGAGTGAGAACTAGGACAAAGATGAGGATGAGGACTGGCTGCTTGAAGATCCCTTGACCTTAGGAACCTCACCCCACCCATCCACATGCTGAACTCTGCTTTCAGGTTAAGGGACTAATTTAAACCAGAGTCTTGGCTAATGCCTTCATTCCCTAGTTGAACAGTATGCCACTGAGTTAATAAAACACTCCCATAAAAGCCGTGATGCTGGCACTTCTCAGCTTCCATGTCTTTTTCCCATTGGTGGAATAATCATGAGACATCTGCTCCAAAGTTTTGATTAAACAAGGCCAAGCATGTTTAT